CTTTTACTCCCTATAATTAAATCTAACTAGTGTGAAAATTTAGACCCTCTTTGGAGAAAGAAAGAAGTTCTCAAATTCTACCATGATTTAATTTATGGGAAAAAATCAATTCATAATGAATTGAAAAACAAACCATCTAATAGGTTAATGCATATGTTAACTTGGTAAGAACTGGTTGGTGGATCTAAGATGAAAACAATCACGGAAATTTGCCAATTGATTAATATGGTCAATTTTCGACTGAAATTTCTAAAGATATGCTACCAGTCCCGACCATTTTTATCCCTAGATCTATCTATATTTTCATGAAAAACACAACATGCAATAGCTGCCAATTGGGGTCTGTCTATACTTGCATGTTGGAAAAGCAAGACATGTAAAGTCAATAACTTAAATCTAGGTAGTCAAGATCCACCAAAAAGAACATAACCAGATGAGCTACCTTGAAAGATTTTTTTTCTCAGTTGATGTGATCGATCGAAGCAACTCCGTACTCCTTACCAAGTTAGGTGTGAATTGTCATACCACTGCAGGCCGATCGCTCCTGTGACGCCGTGTGGCAACAAGTACTTCCTTCTCATGGTAGAAGACAAGAGACGCTACATGTGGCTCACGCTGCTCCTATCCAAGGCTGCGATCAATCGATTCAAGGCGTCTGCGAAGGTTGAATCCGGCGACGCCTCAAGGCGCTGCACACCGATTGGGGCAGTGAGTTCACCTACATCGCCTTCACCAATTACTGCGCAAATGAAGGGAGTCTAGTGACAGCTCATGACCCCCTACTCCCCACCACAGAATGGGGTTGTAGAACGCCGAAAGCAAACCATGGTGGCGATGGTGCGTAACATGTTGAAGGCGAAAGGGTTGTCGGATGCGTTCTGGGGGAGGCATGACGTCGTATGAGGCATGGCACGCTTCCTCCAGGTTGTGCACTATCTGCGCGTGTTCGCTGCATCACCCACATCAAGGTCGTCATAGCTCGTCGATGATCTTCATCAGGTACGAGCCCGGCTCCAAGTTTTATTGTGCGTATGATTGTTGACGGTCGTTAGCGATCAGTTCCGACCGTCAATATCACCAAAATAGAGAACTAGTTATGCTTGCAATGCATATCCATGTTAGAATAATAATATTGCACTAGTGTTTGGTTCACTAACCTTTTGCAGAGAATAACCATAAAGTGGAGGAGAATTGACATCAACTCAGACGATAAATCAATCGGACGATGTTGAGAATCAGACTTGTGCATGAATGGGCCAAGAACTCAGAATTGACACGATGAATTGGGCGAAAATTCACAAGTCTACGAAGAAAAGCAGCAGAGGAGGCCGCCAGCCAAAACTTGGGCTGGTTGGGCCGACCCCTGGTTCGACCGAATCCCCCAGCGCCGTTGGATGCAGGGTTGCGACTGGACGCTGTGGATTAGCTCCCAATGACGGTTGGAGGGTATTTTCGACCATTCCAACCGTCATTGGGAGGCTATATAAACCCCTCCCTCTCTTCACTTCAACACACACCTCAAGCAAAGCTCTCTCCTATTCTCTCAAGTTTAGTTTAGTGTTCCCAAGCTAGTGGAATGGGAATAGAGTAGAAATCAGAGGGTTTGGCTCTAGTAGCTCTTCTCTTCTCTTGTGTAAGCTTTGCACTTTATTTAGAATACTCTCCTTTATACATTTATGGTATTGAAATACTTTCCGAGTATATGAATGCCAACTTTACATTATGTTTATGTTATACTGATTATACTGCTAGCTTATCTGGGAGATGCATCGGTACAGGTATAATGTTTGCTTATACAATTACTCTATGTCATGATGATATTATAGTAGTATCTGGTAGTTTAGGCGTGGCGTCTAGGTTACGGGATATCATTATTTGAGGTTATATGCTGCGGATGAGAGGTGGGCCGCTGATGGTGACAGCTCAGTACGGGTATTCCTCTGCGCGTGTATATAGTCCTAAGTTAATTTCCTCCCTTTCCTAGGGAGGGTACTCATCCGTATTTAGCCCCGGTTATATGGTCATGACGGGTTGTCGTAAGGAACTCGGCTGTCAGGGGTGACTTCTCAAAGTACCAGGAGGGCATTGGATAGAGGGTATTAGTTAGTATGTCAGATAACTAGGATGTATGTATACTAGAAGTATAGGAATTGATTCTCTTTCTCTTTTCTTTCCACTTAGCTTAGATATTTTAGTATGAGAATAAGTAGCTCCCTGCTTGTGTGTCACTCTACTGTTGGATTATCTTAACCCCTGCTTAGACTATGATTATTACAAGCAACATATAAATTATTAGTCCGGTTATCTCTACTATGATCTTCCCACGGGATTAAATAAATACGATACCCTTGGAATACTCTCGGGTGAAATGCTACAATGGTATATCCGTGCGCTTGCGGATGAACTCTGTAACCATAATATATTAGGAGTATTTCTGCGCCATTGCTGGGAATTATATTTCTAGCAATGTCATTAAGAAATACCAACAATAATCTGGTGTCACAACGAATATGCATGACGTGATGTCGTGTTCAACGAGGCAGCCTAGTGGGACTGGGACCAGAATGACTTGCAAGGTATGCCATTGTCTGAAAATGGTTTCCCAATGCAATACTTGTCAATGCCTATTGCCAGATTGTCCCTGCCACTGTGTCGAACACCTTCGGTGCAAGTTGGTGCGGAGCCGGAGGCAGTAGAACCCGATGGGCCGGCACGGACGCGAGATTCGCCTCGCCGCCTCCTAACTTGGAAGAGAACCTTGGTGTTGATCATGACGATGACACGCCCCTCCGTTTCCACACCGTCGATAGCCTACTCGGTGAGGCAGCGGCTCCGGGGTTCGCGATCCGTGAGCTCGAGATCACCGAGGAGCTTCTCCTCAGTACACCGACGAACCCACAAGCTTCAAGGAAGCGAAGCTAGATCAATCCTGGCAGAAGGCCATGTTGGAGGAAATGCGATCTATCAATGACAACCACACATTGGAGCTTCCCTCTTTCCCTGTCGGCCACCGTGCCATTGGCCTGAAATGGGTGTTCGAGGTGATGAGGAATGAACACGGAGTGGTGGTGCACTACAACGCGAGGCTAGTTGCGAAGGGTTACTTATAGCCGCCGGGAATCAACTTTGAGGAGGTCTTCGCTCCGATGGCACGGATGGAGTCGGTGCACCTCTTACTAGCAATGGGGGAAAACGCCGGCTAGGAGATGCACCACATGGACGTCGAGATCGGAGTCGCTCAGGTGGCATCGGGGTTCCAGGGGCGAATTCTTATCCCTGGAGATTAGTTGAGGTAGTTAGGATTGCATGTGCACGTTTGCTTTGGATTCTTTTCCTTCTATATTTGAGTCCGAGCTAGGCGCGCCACCAGAGCGCGTCGTGCGCCACGATCGGGGGTGTTTGGGATGGCACTCACCTCAACCGGCCGTGGCGCATAAGCAGGATCGTGGCCCTTAATCCACGGGGTGTAATCTAGCATAATAAAAGGAGAAGTAAACCGAAAAGTAGCAAGTTGTTACACGCTCCACCAAATTCTCTCTTGCATTCTCTGTGTTCGTGCGCTCCAGGTGTTCGTCCGAGGTTCTCGTGCCCAGTTTCGCGTGTGTTAGTTCTTGTGCTGATCAAGTGGACGCTAACAACTAATGCTCTGGCGTGGCGAGCAGGGTTCACTTTATCGGTTTAGCTCATTTGATCGGAGGTCACCGAAATCCTGAATTTTTGGTCTGAAATTTTTAAAATTTTGAACACAATTTAGTTGAATTTGAACAAATATTACCAAAATTCATGAAAAATTTGAAAAATTTCGGCCGAAGTAATATCGTATCGGAGTGGACCGAAATTTCGGACCCTGTGGCGAGCAACAGGTGATATATTTATCATAATATATTTTTTTGCGGGGAAAGAGAATGCTTTATTGATTACTCATCAGTGTGATTACAATCATTTGCCAGAGCCCCAAAGACACAAGAGGGAGCCTGCATACGCCAAACAGCTGAATGGTTCGTACACATGGCAAAATTAGCTAGATCATGGGCTACTCTATTGCATTCTCTTCTAATCTTCTGAACACGGAAATCAGGCAGAGCTTGGAGTAATAACTTAATACTCCCTCCGTATTTTAATATATGACGCCGTTGACTTTTCGACCAACGTTTGACCATTCGTTTTATTCAAGATTTTTATGCAAATATGAAAATATTTATGTCATGCTTAAAGAACATTTGATGATGAACCAAATCACAATAAAATAAATGATAATTACATAAATTTTTTGAATAAAACGAATGGTCAAACGTTGGACAAAAAAGTCAACGGTGTCATACATTAAAATATGGAGGTAGTATAATACTCTGGAGGACATGGCAAAGCTGCGCTCCATATACTGACCATGATATGCTATCAAGGTCTGATTCAGTTCCAATATATATAGAGGGACGGTCGACGGAGATTCAGTGCCCGTGTTGGTAGCAAGAACGTACCACCACCGCTGCGCGTCGACGCGGCGCGGCAGGCGGCGATCCAAAATAGGGGTCGTTTTATCTTGCAGTTTTGAGTTTTGAGACGAAATTGCAAAAATACTATCAGTACTAAAATCTCTGATCCGGAGAAATTAAATTCGTATATGGAACATGCAAAGCTTTCTCGTTTCTCGTTAGGGATGGATCAAATCACTTTGGCAATAAAACTCCCAATAAAACTTTCGATTCTGAACAGTGAGGCCGTGGGTGGGGTTCGGAGAAGAAAACTCCAAACTCCCAAGGATATCTTGGGCCGTTTGATGCGGCCCAGACGACTCACACTGTAATATCCTTGGGGAATCCGAGAAAGGCTGTACGGTTGGGCTTGAGCCGGAAAGTTTACTACTCCCTCCGTTTCAGAATGTAAGTCATTCTAGCATTTCTCACATTCATATTTATGCTAATAAATCTATATGTCTAGATTTATTAGCATCAATATGAATGTGTGAAATGCTAGAATGACTTACATTGTGAAACGGAGAA